ATGGGGCGGACAAGCTTGAACGCATTCCAGGCGGTCGTATCCACGTACCACATGACGATCAAATATCCGGTGGGCGAAAACATAGGGGAGATCGCCGGGGATCAACTCACTTCGAGAAGTTGCTACCAAACGACAGTCAGCAATAACAAACAATTGGCGAAGAGGCAGGCCGAGTCGAAGCGGGAGGAGATTAATCGACCCGGAGGATCGAGGTCGAAGGAGGACAAACAAAAAGTGGAGAAAGGTAAGGAGAAAATGGATATCCAACCTGGGGAAGAAGTTGAGGAGATTCAAATGATTGAGGGATGTGAAGGGAGAAAGTTCAGGATCGGAAAGGATCTGGGAGAGCCTATTCGGTCGAGGCTGATTTAGTTGGTTAGGGAGTTCGCTGATATTTTCGCCTACACAGCAGAGGAGTTAACAGGAATAAGTGCGGAGGTGATCGAGCATCGGCTAAACATCGACCTCAGCGTGAGGCCGGTGAAGAAGAAAAGAAGGCACCATGGGGCGGAGATGGACAAGATCATCGAGCAGGAGGTCGAGAAGCTGTTGGGAGCATGACATATTAAAGAGATTCAGTTCCCCGAATGGCTGTCAAACACGGTGATGGTGTCGAAGGCGGAAGGGAAGTGGAGGATGTGCATTGATTTTCGCGATCTGAACAAAGCATGCCCGAAGGATTTATATCCGCTTCCCAGGATCGACCAGCTGGTCGACTCCACAGCCAGGTGTGAGCTACTCAGTTTGATGGACGCATCCCAAGGTTATCACCAGATCCCGCTGGCTCGAGAGGATTGGAAAAGGGTCAGCTTTGTAACAAGCCGTGGAACATACTGCTATGTGGTGATGCCATTCGGTCTAAAGAATGCAGGGGCGACATATCAGAGGTTGGTGGACAGAATTTTTAAGGATCAGTTGGGAAGGAACATGGAGGTATATGTGGATGATATGCTGGTAAAGAGCAAAGAGGAATTGACCATGTGAACGACTTAAAAGAAACATTCATGACCCTCTGGAAGTATGGGATGAAGCTGAATCCCGCTAAGTGCTCGTTCGGGGTCAAATCTGGAAAATTTTTGGGCTACATGGTCACGAAGAGGGGGATCGAGGTCAACCCGGAGAAGGTGAGAGCGGTGATCGAGATGAAGCCCCCCACAAAGGTGAAGGAGGTGCAGATCTTAATTGGTCGAGTAGCAGGCCTGAGCCGTTTTATTTCTAAGGTAGCTGAGAAAAGCGTGCCCCTATTTAAGACACTCAGGAAGAGCTCGAAATTTCAGTGGACAGAAGAAGCCCAGAAAGCATTCGAGGAGTTGAAGAGGATGTTGGTCGATCTACCACTATTGGCAAAACCGGCGCAAGGGGAGGACTTGGTGTTACATGTATCCATCGGTGAGACGGCAGTGAGCTCTGTGTTACTGCGGGAGGAAGGGACAGCCCAATTTCCGATCTATTACGTAAGTAAGGTGGTGCAAGGGGCGGAGAGGAGGTACTCAGAGATTGAAAAAGGGGCCTTGGCAGTGGTGGTCACTGTAAGGAAGCTGAGACTATATTTCTTGGGACATAGGGTGAAAGTCCGAACGAACATGCCATTGGGAGAAACACTGGGTCGACCCTCCGTGTCGGGGCGGTTAGTCAAATGGGCGGTCGAGCTGAGTGAATACACAATTATCTACGAGCCAAGGAGGGCGATTAAGGCTCAAGCGCTGGCTGACTTTATACAAGAAGGGACGAAGGAGAGCGAGGAGTCTGAAGGGGTGTGGCAAGTGTTTGCAGATGGATCAGTGTCGAGGGCTGGAGGTGGCTTAGGCATCGTACTTATGTCGCCGAAGGGTGACATCCTGGAGTTCGCAATCAAGGTGGCCTACCAGATATCAAATAATGAAGCGGAATACGAAGCGGTCATTAAGGGACTCAAACTGGCCTTAAGTGGCGGAGCTCGAGCAGTGCAGGTGCATTCAGACTCACAATTGGTGGTGGATCAATTCCAGGAAGGGTTCGAGGTCCGGGAGGAAAGGATGATGAAGTATGTGGAGGAGATAATGAAGCTGCAGGGAGAGTTTGATTCTTTCGAATTAATCCAGATACCTCGAGGAGAAAATGGTCGAGCGGATCTGTTAGCTAAAATGGCACAAAGTCTAGTGGACTGCAAGAGCAGAAGTGTGACCTTGCTGCACATGGAGAAGAGTGTGGTCGAGAAGGAGGTGGTCGAGATAGAAGAAGTCGAGGATTGGAGGGCGCCGATAATAAAAGAATTGAAGGGAGGAGCTGTTAAAGTGATAAGGAGATTTTTCGAGCATGGAGGGATTCTCTACAAAAAGGTCGCACGCGGGCCCCCACTTGCGATGTGTAACCGGAGAAGAGGGGCGATATGTGTTGAAGGAAATTCATGAGGGCTGCTGCAGTGACCACAGCAAGGCGGGTTCTTTGGTAGCAAAGGTTCTAAGAGCAGGATATTTCTGGCCAACAATGAGAGAAGATGCCAAGGAGATGGTTCGGAAGTGTTTGCAATGCCAGAAGCACGGCCCACTCATTCACCAGCCGGCCGAAGCCATGACAGCGATGAGTTCTCCCATCCCGTTCGCCCAATGGGGGATCGACCTGGTTGGGCCCATGCCCCAAGAAACCGGACAGAGGAAGTTCTTGATTGTTGCGGTCGATTATTTCACGAAGTGGGTGGAGGCTGAACCCCTGGCAAAGATCACGGAGGAGAAAGTGATACATTTTCTATATGATAACATATGTTGCAGGTTCGGAGTTCCTAATGTGTTGGTGTCGGACAATGGGACACAGTTTAATGGCAAGCGGATTTGGGCATGATGCGAGGACATGAAAATTGATCAACATTTCGCTTCAGTCGCACACCTGCAGGCCAACGGGCAGGTCGAAGTGACCAACAGAATTATATTGAATGGTCTGAAAACAAGGTTGGAGAAAACATCGAGAGCATGGGTGGACGAGCTTACTTCGGTGCTATGGGCGTACAGAACAACTCCCCGATCGACTACTGGGGAAACACCGTTTAGTATGGTATACGGCATGGAAGCTTTGTTGCCGGTAGAGGTCGAGGTTCAGTCCCAAAGATCGAGCACATATGATCGAGAACAGAATGAACATCTGATGATGGCAGCGCTCGACACAATCGAAGAATTTCGAGGAAAGGCAACAATCAGAGTCGAGGCGTACAAACAAAGGATGTGAGCAGCGCATGACAGAAAAGTGAAAACACGAAGATTCCAAGTGGGTGACTTGGTGTGGAAGAGAGTCGATGTGCTGAAACACGTCGATAAATTAGAGCCAAACTGGGAAGGACCATACCTGGTCGAGAAGGTCCATGCTGGAGGAGCATACTCTTTAAAGGATGCTGAAGGAAGATCTCTAGCCAAGTCATGGAATGTGGCTAACTTAAAGAAATATTATGCTTAAAATTTTGTTTCTTTTTTTTACTCATTATCACCAATGTAATGAAATGCTTTGCTCGATGATGAATGAAATGGTGTATTGAAGTTTCTACAATTTACTGTTTACCGAATTAACTTTACTTAGTCGGAATCCCTGGATTAACCTTGATGACAGGCTGTATGTGAAAAACCCATCATGATTAAGGCCACGAGGCTGGATGGTCGTATGTAACGACCACCTCTTGGAAGGTGGGCATGCGTTCAAGAAAAAAACCCATCATAATTAAGGCCACGAAGCTGGATGGTCGTATGTAACGACCACCTCTTGGAAGGTGGGCATGCGTTCAAGAAAAAAATCCATCATGATTAAGGCCATGAGGCTGGATGGTCGTATGTAACGACCACCTCTTTGAAGGTGGGCATGCGTTCAAGGACAAAATCCATCATGATTAAGGCCATGAGGCTGGATGGTCGTATGTGACGACAACCCCTTTGAGGGTGGGCGTACGTTTTAAAGGGAAAAATCCGTCACGACTAAGGCCATGAGGCTGGATGGTCGTATGTGACGACCACCCCTTTGAGGGCGGGCATACGTTT